TCTGGTCCTGTATCCTTGCTCAAACTGACTCTTGAATCTGAAGCAGTGTTTTTGTAGCACTTCTGAGGCCTTGGCCAAATTCTCAGGCTTCTTTTCCAGCTGCCTAATGTGTAAGGTAAGAAGCTCTTCAGAAAACATGCACTTTTAAAGCTATCTACTATGAACAAAGCTTCTGCAAGGTCAAAAGAGAAAACTTAGTATATGCCATGGAGAAGGTAAAAGGGAGAAAAGCCAGTCTGTCTTCTCATTGTAATCTTGTCTGCAAAGAAGGCTTGTTATACATACCCAGGCCAGCAACAGATTTTTTCATTACATAGCTTGACTAGGCTTTTACAAATAATAAAGTGTTCTTGTTCAATCACTTCATTGGCTTTGGAGTTATAGACTGAAATCTTGACATGAGATACATTATATTGTGTGACCAGTTCTTTTAATGCATCTTCTATCTTGCTTCTATTATTTGTAGTAACTTGCCTAATTGCACCATAACAACAAAAGATTTCTTCCCACAAAAACTTGGTGACTGCACTAAAAGTAGCCTTTCTAAGTGCTCGCCCTTCTGCTACCTGTGACAGATTATCTCTAGCTGCTACAATGTATTTGTAACCTTGGACAGTTGGCATATACATTATATCTAGATAGATCTTGACAAAGATAGTGGCAGAGGTAGAGACCATAAGAGGGACTTAAACCTTGCATACACTTCTAACTTGGCATTGAAAGCATGAACACATATAATAGTGTACATTGTTCCATAGGCTTGGCCAATAAAAGTATTCCTTCAGAGTAGCCATGGTTGCTTGCACACTGCACTGTTCACTTTGTTCATGAGCTGCATAAAGCAGGGCATCTTGCTTGTGCTGGCAAAAGATACATTTGGTAGGTCTCTTTGGTCCATTATGCTTAAACATCACCTTGTCTTTGATGATAAACTTCACTAGGATTATGTGGGCTGAAGCATATATGCTTGGCAGATACAATTTTTTCATTTCTTGTATGCTGCAACATATGTAACCATGCCACAAAGTGGCTGAAAGCAGTTATATTCTGGGCTCCACTTATTCTCAATTGGAAAGCTCTTTTAGTTTAGCCTGTCTGAGCCAGAAAACAGAACAGGGCTTTTGGAGATAGTCTCTGTAACCATGCCACAGAGTAGCTGATGGCAATTATGACCCAGACTCTACTCAGTCTGAATTGGATTGCTGTGCTGGTACAGTTTGTCTAAGCAAGACAGAGTAGAGCTTTTACAAATGGTACCTCTAACCATTTCATTCCAATTCAGTTCAAAGTTTGTGTCAAAGGTTTGTAAAGTGATTTTGTCTGAGAAAGTGCTAGTGGAAACTACCAAAAGGTAGCAAGCAAGGTAAAAGATCAGAGGCAAGTCAAATCTCTATAAGACTTAGAGAAGTTACACTTGTGAAGCATGTTGTGAGCAGAGATGGTGGTGGTTAAGGTGAAAGAAGTGTATGAGGTAGCAAATTGCGCATTTTAAGAGAGCAGTTGCTTTATTGAATAGAGGTTGGGGGTTCAATTCTGGCTGGGGGATCCTCTTTATTTTGATAAATTTTGGTTTTACAGGCTAAGATAAAGTGATATCATGGCAGATAGTATGACTATATATTTCTGTAAGATATATATGGGTGTTCTGAGATAGCAGAATGGAGTAGAATAGCTATTAAGTATGGTAGCTTGAAGGATTAAACTTTATGCACAAGATCATGACCATATGCCTAATTATGAGCTCATATGTCTTAATATGCACATATAGTAACCCAATACTTGCAAGGCATAGTAAAAGAGACTCTTAGAATATTGGTGTGAATTATGGACAAGTATTGATCTGTAGAGTGGAGTAAGAGCAATGAATAAATAGAACATTTCTAATAATTCCAAATAAATTTTAATAATTCTACATATATTCACTATAGTGCTAGATAGTATGGAAAATAGCAATACAAAATATCACGCAATTGTAGCCACCGCCGAGTTCACAATGCATTATGCAGCACTGTGCACTAAGCTTTAAAGCCAGTAGTCAGCACTTTATCACTGAACCATGGTCTTGAACCACCCCCATACTAAGTACACAGTTAGTATGTATATAGCAGATTCTATGCTATATGGTATGGATGGACAGAAATATGTGAAAAAGAGTAGAAGTGATGAAGAGGGCAGAACATGCTGTGGCACCTATTGGGCACTTAATCTGGCATTTTCTGACACTTTGTTCCTTCTAAATCACTTCTTTAAACAATTAATTTGGCACAACTTTTTACACATTCTGGACTCTCTCACTGTGCTCTATCTGATGGTATAAAGATCATTTGGATGTTGTGCCTTTTAAAAGTGGCCTATTCATAAAATTTGTCTAAGTCTCTAGCTCAAGCATAAAACACAATGCTGAAGAGCCAAAACAGATCCAATTGTGACCAAATAATTTTTTACATGTAGATCTATGATGGAGATATGTATGGACCAAATTTTAAGTCAATGGCCTGAGTATAGCAAGTTGTAAAGCAAGGGGCAGATTTGCATTAGAAAGTGAACTAACCTCCAAAATGCTACTTTCAACAGAATGTTTCTTTATTACATTCAGAAATTGTAATAGCCTTCTTGATGAAATACTCACATTGCTGCAGGGTGCTGAAAGAAGGTGCTTCTAGAGTGGACAAAAAGTGGTATATATTTGCCATAGTCTGCTTCTTCTTGGACATACTTGTTGTGCACACTGATACACTGATGGACCTGTCTGAACTTGCTAGAATGTTGAGTATTGCTTACACTGGTGCCTCATCTCATTCTGACTCCACAAATACATATAATGTCACCAGTTGAGAGATATATAGTCTGAAAGATAGTGACACATTGTACAAAGCAATGTTATCTACACAGGGCCCCGGGAGATTGCGCGTACCAGGTTTCCAGGGGATTTCCCACAGATCAACGTCCAGATAGCTGAGGTCCAAAATCCGTTCGATTGTTGTCTCACAACAGCCGGATTTTGACCTGACAGCAATCTCGCTCCAGGTCTCAGGTGGGATCAAGCGCCCACCGCCTAGCG